AACATCATAGTAAGGCAACATGCTTGCACTTTGACATTTGAAAATTCCTTTCACTTGGTTAACCACCAATTAAGAATCCCCAAATATATCAACTGCATGAGCTTGCAATCCTGTAATAACCCCGACCTCCGATTAATGCTAATTCATAATTAATTATGCCTAACAGTAATTTAGGAGAAATCCAGAAATTAATTTGCATATGTGTTGCATTATTTTTGTGTTTCTATATGTTCGATGTATAACGATCTGTTCATGTTCTGACTTTGAATTGTGAATTGAAAGCCTTATCGGCGCCGGATTCCGAAATTGATTAGTGTTATGTGCTAATTAGAATTTATGTGATTTTATGGTAGATTTAATTCAAACTCGATTCGGTATGATTAAATTAGATTAATTAATGTTGAATCACATTAGTTTGGCTTATTTACCTAATTGCCACTAAGTGGATTATTCTAGGCAAACACCTAGTCTTGAGGCATAAGAGGTCGAGGCATCACTTATTCATCTTCCTAGAGACAAAAAAATGTGAGAAAGAGTGAGAGTGTGAGAGACTTGTTTTCAACAAGAGATTTGAGCTTGAACTTGGAAGAATTGAAGAATTGTGTGCATACTTGAGCTTCTAGGCTTGGAATTGAAGACTTAAGGTAGGAGAATTACCTTCTTAATTGTGAATTGAGTTAGTTCTTGCATGGTTCATATGAAATTACTTACCTAAGTCTAGAATTAGCTCAAACATGTTGAATCATGAAGTTCGAGGTTGTTTTCATAGTAATTCTTGCATGCATGTCCACATTTTTGTTATAGTCCATGAACTCACCATGTTTTGAAGTTAAATCTTGCATTTGATCTTGTTTTAGAACTTTGGAGTTTCAAGGAACCCATGCATGTGTTGAATTTGCATTGTTCTTCATGTTCTTGAAGTTTATTTGAAAACTGTGTTTAATTGAACTACCTTTGGGCTTTGATTTCTCAAATTGATCTTTAAAACATGTCATATTATGAGTTTACAAGTGTTTTCCAGAAAATTAGCCCAAAAGGATCGAATTTGATGCATTGTAGTTGAGTTTTGAGCTTGAGGTTCAAATCTGGAAATTCCAGATTTTGGACTCACGCAAGTTTATGACCATGAACGCTCGAGCGTACATACTGAG